TGCCACCCTGAGTTTGCAAGACCTGAGCAGAGCTGTGGATGATGGGGGCTCCTGGAGGTCCTCATTCAGAGGGAAGAAGATGCACGCTGAAGCTGACTTGGCAACACATAACAGCGACGACAACAACAACGACACACAAGCAAAGAAACAACACTTCTCTCAGCCAAGTTTGCCCCAGATCTCAGAAAGAGGCCGTTAACCTCTGAAATAGACATTTATTGGAGTGATTATCGAACCAAACTTTATGGATGCAGGAGCAAAACCAACCGGAGTGGACCATATTCTGAAGTACCACCTTCGGTGTAGCTAACTTTGTATTTTGAGCAGCTGAAGGAGGCAAAACCAAAACATTTTTGAGAATATAATGCTAAACTGCAGTTTGTTCATCATCATCATCATTCTAATCCTAATTGATACTCTGCTCTTACCTGCCCTAAGATTATGCTCTAATTTCCTGCTTCCCTCCAATAAAGGATGCAATGATGGGGAAATATGGGAGGGTTTTGTAATGACAGGAAAATCATCTTTCTCTTTAATAATAACAACAATTTTTATTTATAGCCCGCCCCTCTGCACAACAATCTTTGTCCCGACAACCTTCCTCAGAAAGGAGGTTAAGCTCAGAGGGTGAGAAAGAAAGGTCCAGAGGACACACAAGAAGCCATCATGGCTAACTGGCAACCTGTCTTCTTCCAATTCCTGCCAACTGTCCAAACCCTTCAACTGTCCTGATTTGGCAGGGACAGTGAGAGTTAATCCTCTGCTGTCCCACTTTTTCAGCTCCTTTTAAAATGTCCCAGTTTCCCTCTCCTCTTCTCCCTTTGTCCTCAGCTTCCTCCAATTGCTGCAAACTAAGTCCAAATTCTAAAAGGAGTTTGCACTCCATTAACTCAACAGTGGAACAGAAGGGACAGAAACCCGGCCTTCCCAGTCGGTTCAAGCAAAAGCAAACTCCTGCAGCCGCTTCCAGCTTGTGTGTCCTTCTCCATTAATAACCTTTGCCATCTTGACCACTCTTCAACGTCGCTCAGTCCCATGAGTCCTGGTTTTTATCTGTGAAATGTTGGAGGGTACGGTATTCCAGCCATTGCACCCTAAACCTGCACCCTTTCCCCCAATTTGGTATTTACAGAGTCCTGCTTGGAACAGGTCACTTTATGCCATGATACCTCACTGAGGACTAGGTTCTTGGTATAGGATCTGAAACATTTATGGCCCCAAACTCCAGTCACAAACACCTGGAGGGCTGTGAAACTAAAACCACCATAATAACAGAATTACAACAACAACAAAATGACATTATTTGGAACGTGCCAAATACTCGGCGGTCCAAAATTCAGGCCAGCCGTAAAACCGAAGTCACTACCAAAGTGATGGCTGAAAGGATGACCCGGCCCAAGTCTTGAGAAAAGAAAAAGAGAGCATGAGCGAAACAGACCGAAGGTCCACTCTGCACAAGGAAGTGCCACCCGCCAGGCGTTATGTTTGCCAACCTTTTCCAGGGGCAAAAGCCAAGCTCCTTTGCTTACAGTCCTGGGGAGAGGGACCAAGGTGTGAGCCAAGGTAACACAAGGTACACAGATGCTCACCTGGCCTCCTTTCCCAGGACCTCCCTGAGAAGGAAGGAAGCAGGCAGGGCAGGAACAACCACCACCTCCACCTCCACCCCACCAGCAACGTGACAAGGGGCAAAAGGACACACCTTGGAGTTGACTCTTCCCAGGCAGGGAGAGGAAGGTTCCCGGAGGAGATGCCTGCGTCAGCCGAGGGCAAATAAAAGAAGAAATGGATGGAGAGGAGGAGGAGGAAGGCACAGGGCTCTACGTTGGGGGCACCCACCAG